CGTGCGCACTGGATCAAAGGACTACGAAACTAACTTCCATTGTATGTTACTCGCAGCATGCAGCCAGGTTGTGAAAAAAAGACTTGTTGAGAATGAAGAAAGAAGTATCGTGCTCCAAGAAATGAGCCAGAGAAAGCTTGAATTCTTCAAGGGTTTCATCTACAGATCCAATGTCATACTGGACGAAGGCATTATAGATGACCTCCACAATTTTGCCGTCAAGTATGGCATCGACGACCTGCAGGCCATTTGTGAGAAATACAAACATATTCGAGAGGGACCGAGCCACCAGGTGGAAATTGCTTTCGATGATCAGGAAGAGGTACTACTGGAGCTGTTTAACATGTTTCTGGAAAAGAATTTCACAACAACAGTTTTGGAGGACGAAAAGGGACAGACCCAAATTAAGGTGCATGGGCAACTCATTGCGGCAGCCTCTTCGATGTTAGAGGAACGTCTTGAAGATTCTTCAGCAAGAGATAACGATAAACTTCGGCTAAACATCTCGTCAGACGCCCTTGCAGAATTTGTTGACTACATCTACTGTGCAAAAGTGACTTTGCGACGTCAGAATGTCCTAGATCTACTACAAGTTGCATGTAATTACGAGCTGCCAGCACTAGCAAAAGTATGTTGTGAATGGGTAGCTGCAAGACTCGACACTTTCGATGTGGTCCGCACCTTGTGGTGGGCTAAAGAATTGGATTCTGCCTACACGGAAGATTTGGAAAATCCTGCAAAAAGCTACATAGTCGCCAATTTCAGCGAATTAACAACAGGCCAAGAATTCAATTTGCTGGTTTATGAAGATCTAAAGGAAATTATACAAGATGACAAGCTAAGCATCGAGAGGGAAGAAGACGTGTATGCTGTTGTAATGAAGTGGATAGAATATGACAAAGATTCCCGTTTACCGTTTCTGTGTGATCTGTTATCCTGTGTTCGCCTGGAGGTCACAAGCAGAGAGTTTTTGGCTGAATTGGAGGATGACCAGCACATAAGACGGTGCTCTGAGTGCTTTCAATTACTTGGTGAGGCTCGACAGAAGCTAGCTGCTGACGAGGATGAAGGAAGGCCTGCCTTGGGTGAATACAAAGATGACTATGAGAAAGAAGTTGAACAAGACACACTCTCAGATGACGCTTCTTTGTCTCAGTTCGCAGATGATGAAACCCTCAAGGATTATGAAAGCTTACCTGAAGAATATTTGCCTCAAGATAGCCTGCCCCAAAGCCGCGAGCTAAGAGACCTGCGTCTGCGTAAGGATGGTCGACCGGATATGCGTTTGAAAGAAAATCGGCGGTTGTACTTAGCAAAAGGAGCGAATAAAAACGGCAGCCCAGATAGAAGGATTGGTGAAAACAGAGAAACAGTGCTGATGAGTAGTCGCAACGGCAAGGAAATGTGGCCCGACCGAAACGAATCAGTCACTGATGATACGTCTTCCGTTTCGTCATCAGAGGAAAAGATTTCAGATTTTTCCGATGACATGTCTTCCGTTTCATCACCATTTTACCGAGGACCATTTCCTCAAGATTGTCTGCGCGACAGCGAGGTGACNACAGTTTTGGAGGACGAAAAGGGACAGACCCAAATTAAGGTGCATGGGCAACTCATTGCGGCAGCCTCTTCGATGTTAGAGGAACGTCTTGAAGATTCTTCAGCAAGAGATAACGATAAACTTCGGCTAAACATCTCGTCAGACGCCCTTGCAGAATTTGTTGACTACATCTACTGTGCAAAAGTGACTTTGCGACGTCAGAATGTCCTAGATCTACTACAAGTTGCATGTAATTACGAGCTGCCAGCACTAGCAAAAGTATGTTGTGAATGGGTAGCTGCAAGACTCGACACTTTCGATGTGGTCCGCACCTTGTGGTGGGCTAAAGAATTGGATTCTGCCTACACGGAAGATTTGGAAAATCCTGCAAAAAGCTACATAGTCGCCAATTTCAGCGAATTAACAACAGGCCAAGAATTCAATTTGCTGGTTTATGAAGATCTAAAGGAAATTATACAAGATGACAAGCTAAGCATCGAGAGGGAAGAAGACGTGTATGCTGTTGTAATGAAGTGGATAGAATATGACAAAGATTCCCGTTTACCGTTTCTGTGTGATCTGTTATCCTGTGTTCGCCTGGAGGTCACAAGCAGAGAGTTTTTGGCTGAATTGGAGGATGACCAGCACATAAGACGGTGCTCTGAGTGCTTTCAATTACTTGGTGAGGCTCGACAGAAGCTAGCTGCTGACGAGGATGAAGGAAGGCCTGCCTTGGGTGAATACAAAGATGACTATGAGAAAGAAGTTGAACAAGACACACTCTCAGATGACGCTTCTTTGTCTCAGTTCGCAGATGATGAAACCCTCAAGGATTATGAAAGCTTACCTGAAGAATATTTGCCTCAAGATAGCCTGCCCCAAAGCCGCGAGCTAAGAGACCTGCGTCTGCGTAAGGATGGTCGACCGGATATGCGTTTGAAAGAAAATCGGCGGTTGTACTTAGCAAAAGGAGCGAATAAAAACGGCAGCCCAGATAGAAGGATTGGTGAAAACAGAGAAACAGTGCTGATGAGTAGTCGCAACGGCAAGGAAATGTGGCCCGACCGAAACGAATCAGTCACTGATGATACGTCTTCCGTTTCGTCATCAGAGGAAAAGATTTCAGATTTTTCCGATGACATGTCTTCCGTTTCATCACCATTTTACCGAGGACCATTTCCTCAAGATTGTCTGCGCGACAGCGAGGTGACTAGAAAGCATCGACTTCGGAAAGATGGTCAGCCAGATATGCGATGCAAAGAAAACCGAAAGATGTACCTGGAAGACGGGATAAACAAAAATGGAAAACCGGACAGAAGGCTCAGAGAGAACAGTATAGAAGTTCCTGGCCCATTGAAGAAGGACGGCACCCCTGACATGCGTTATAGAGTGAACAAAGATTTCTTTGGTCGTAAAGAGCGAAAACCAGAGTCGCCTTACACTCCCAGCAAAAATATTCAGAGAGCTGCTGGACAATTGAGAAAGAACGGCGCTCCAGACAAAGGCGACAGAGGAGCCTTGGAAAGTTCTTGTGCGAGAACAGTCTCCTTCCAGCTGCCTTCCACCCCTAGCGGCTTTGTTGGGCCTGTAAAGAAAGATGGCACTCCAGACATGCGCTACAATGTCAACAAACAACTATACAGCGCATGCTCCGCCAGCAGAAGTATCCAAAAGAGTTCTCCACGTGGACCTCTGAAGAAGAATGGTACACCAGACATGAGGTACGCTGCAAACAAGCAAGCGTACAGTCGTGCGCCGTTGTCGTCCGGGGCCTGCGGTCCCCTTAAGAAAGATGGCACCCCTGATATGAGGTTCAAGGCCAATCGACGTTGAAAGAAGGTGTTTATTGGAAAATAGGAAGACAGTTTTTCAAAAGCGACACACACTGACATACTTGCGTTGAAGATGAGTTTATGCTGTGGGTTCTTGGATCTCTCTAATAAACGCCACGCTTCACAGCGCAGAGGAGTACAAGACCTTCTTAGTTGTTTTTTTAAAACAACAGAAGCACTGCGATCACTAACTTCAGAACTTCTTTGAAGGAGATCACAACAGAAAATACGTTCGTGGGTCACTCAAAAAATCTTACTTACTTTCATCGAGACTAGTTTACTTTTGGTTCTCATGAAATAATATTCATAGCCTCAGTGTAAGTCAAGACTTTTCCTGCAAATAGATAAGTTGTTCAGTATTCAGTGCAATGTTCATGTTTAGAAACGTTTATTTGAAGACTTTCGAACTAATGTTGTAAAACGAAACCCCCTTACTGATCAAAATAAACCACGAGGTTGATATCTTACTAGAATCTTGACCACGATAAAAGTAGGAATTACGAACTGCTTCAGGCAGGCCCCAGAATCAAATAAAATGAGGAAAAAAAGGGTGGTGCCGGAGGGAAGGGAGGGAGGGGGGAGGGGGAATAATGACCTTACCAACTTTAAGAAAAGAAGAAAATCAGTGCAGGAGCATTTTACATGGCTTGACGAAAACATATTGCTTTGGATCTTTCCAGATTATGCTTTTGTATTAAAGCATTCTGTAGTCACTTGACTAAATACAACAACTGTCAGTTCGGGAAACCATAATAGCAACGCGTTTGTTTTGACATCAAGCTTTTATTGATTAATGTTTAAGTCACTCTTCTTTTACCCCAGTCATCAATTAATCGATAACCATTCGTCTAACGACACGATCTACAGTAAGAACAAAACACCTCAACGGGATTAAAAATCACTGAAAAGTACCGAAACAGAGTACTACTAAAAACGTCAAAATGAACCCCTGCAAAAGGAAACTCGGTTTTTCCTGTGATATTTAAACATGCAACGGCCCAGATTTTTTCGATACGTTAAGATATATTTGTTAATATGATAGAGCTTTTCATCCACAAGGCTGAAACTTCTTGTGATAACAAATAATCGTTCGACAACCTAACATACGGATATGTTCACACTAAGTGTATTATCTTCCTATCAGAAGGACGCAGGTTTGGTTGAAGCTACCTGTGAGCGTTTACACTTAACTATGCTGGCAATTTTATCCGTAAAATTAT